TTCCTCCTCTCTCCACCCACTCCTGTCTTGGCTTGCCTGTTACACAGTTCTTTACTAGGTAGACTTTTCATATAAAGACTTTTGCATTCTCAGATTTCTGGGATAGGCTTTTGTGTTGGGTTAGAACAAGAGCAACCAGTCAATAAATATTTGGAGAATCAACAAAGAGAAGGTAGGTGGGGTGGGAAAGGATCCAGAGAGGGAGGGAAACTGAGGTTCCTATTTGGAACCAGGTACTACTTGGTAGGTCCAGCCCTTTTCACCCTCCCAGAAACTCCACAAACATTTATGATTATTGGCCTCATTTTCCAGATAACGGAGACTCAGAGGATGACCCTGCCCAAGTGACATGATACATTGAAACCAGGATTTGAACCCAGATGTGTTTGGGAGACAAGACTCAGACACAAAGCACTGCTTGTTTTCTGTTAGGAAGGAAACAGATTTGCCCCCTGGCAGGGTATAAGTTTTTGATTAGTTATTTGCCCAAAACTCTTTATTCATTCATACATTTTCCATTCATTCTCTTCTTCCCCCATTCATTCCCACATTGTCAGGAAGCTTAATTCCCTCCTTCTTGGCCCCCTCCCTCATTGCCCATCTATTCCCTCTTTCTTTGCTGGGAAGTGGGAGTGCCGGCAGGGAGGGTGGAAGCAAGTGGCTCCACTCGACCCTCCCCAGTCTGCAGCCCATACCTGCTTCTGGGCATGTGCTGTGAGGGCTGGCCTGTGTCCTGTCTCACTCTCCTCCCTGCCCTGAAGTTGAATCCCTAGGAAATGGCCCTCAGAGCTAATCCCACAAAATCCCCACTCATCACTGCTTTTCAGAGGAGGTTCCTGGAAGAATTCATTAGGGTTCTCAGAAAATGTTTCTGGTCATCTTCTCTTTCCATGACTGCTCTTCATTACTTTCCATGTGCCATAATTAGTTAGAGGGTCATTCCCTGTGTATCTGCATATAATATTTCAAATGTCTCCTAAGGTAAATCCCAAGAGGCCAGCAGCACTGGGGGTATGTGCAAGACCATGGAGCTGAGGCAAATGGCCTTTGAAGAGCCCGCAGATGGGAGCAAGAGACTTGTGTTCTGGTCTGGTCTCTTTCCTGACTGACTGACTGACTGACTGACATTGGCAGTCCTTTGTAGTCTTGGGTTTTCCCAAGGAAGGACCTCATGGAATCAATACCCTTGGTGTTACAACCAGGTCTGGGGAGTTCAGGTCTCAGCCCTGCCTCTCACTAGCTGTGCCACTTGGGGACAGTGACATCAACTGTAAGCCTCAGTCTCGTCATATGTAAAGTGCAGACAATAATATTATTGACCACCTAGAGTTATAATACTAACAATAACAATAATACAGTGAGCTGGGGGGCCCTCCTAGTGGCCTAGGGGTTAAGTCTCAGTGTTATCACCATGTCGGCCTGAGTTCAATCCCTGACCGTGGAGCTAACCCACATATGGCTCAGCAGACATCGCCTGTCTTGCCCGCTGCTCCCCTCAGCAGTGTATTTCAGTAAATCTGCCTGCTCTGCTCCCCACTCTCTCTCTGATGAATCCTCTCATCCCCTATACCCCCGTTTTTCTATTCAAAAATAATTTTTAAAAAATACAGTGAGCTAGTACATGTAGAAGACTGAAAAGTGCTCAGTATTCAGACAGTTGAAATAGCTTAGCTGTGGAAGATGATAGTAGTAAGGATATGCGGGAGAAGGGGGTATAGGAGTGGAGATTGTCTGGAACCCCTGGGTGCTGCTCTGGAGTGGTTAAGTAATAAGAGGGATAGAAGAGAATATAGATACTTCTTCTGTCTCCAAAAGATTCATGGAAATCCACATCTACTCCCCTGCAATAAAGTCACAAAGGATGACATAAATGACAACTTTTTCGCTTTTGGCTTAAGTCGAATCAAGACTTGGACCCCTGGCAGGGTGTATGATCATGAGTAAGGGGAGTAATGTCTGGACAGAGAGTCTGGCAGTGCTAACCTTCCAGGACAGTTATGTGGATGGAACAAGATGTCAGGAAAGCACTTAGCATGGGGTCTGGACCACAGTAGATACCCAGCACATGGCTACCACTAAAGCTAGTACCAGCCTTAGGTTCCCTGTGCCTCAGCTTTTTCACTGGTCACATAAAAATCACACAACCTACTTTACTCATTCAACAAATATTTACTGAGCCAAGTACTATGAATACCAAAATGTATTCACCAGACAAAGTTTATGGCCTCTCAGAACCCACATTTTGTAGTTGCTCATTATTCATCCATTTAACAAATACTTTTGCCAAACATTTAGTATACTAAATGCTGTATAATAGGCATTACAGATACAATGGCTCATAAAACAGATTCAATTCTCAACTCCCTACAGAATTACAGCCTAAATAAGATGTGATAAAATAAACTAGTGAAATATTTAGCATGTAACAGGTCCTCAACAAGTAAAAGTTGTCTGGGTGCTAATCAGAAGCTATATATAACTATGTATAACTTTGGGAAAGTTAACTCATAAGATGTAGAAATGAATGATTTCTTAATTCACAAAATTTGTTTGGCAGATGGGGGCTTTTAAGATAGGAAGGGAATCCAAAGAAAATGAAATATTTAAATATGTACTTAAAAAACCATTTATAGGGTCAGTATGTAAAATTATAAGATGCTGATAAGAGAAAAAAGAAAACCTAAAGAAATGGACAAATATACCATGTACATAGATGAATTGGAAAACACAACATAATAAAGACATCAATTTTCCCCAAAGTTACCTACAGGAATTTATGCAAACGGTGTCTACAAAATATGGAAAGGCATGGGCCTTTAAAATGTTAAACAAGTTCTGACAAAGAACAAAATGGGTGAAGTCACTGTACTCAACATTAAGGCACACTATATCATTGCAGTTACAAAGACAGTATTGCTACATGAATGTACATATAGACTAATGAAACAGGAGAGAGTCCATAAATAAACCCACAGAAATATATTCTGTTAATTTTTGACAAAGGTGCAAAAGAAATTCAAAGAAAGGAAGATGTCTTCAAGAAATGGTGCTGGAGCAATTGAATATCCAGAGGTCAAAAAAATGAAACTTGCTCTAAAATTCACACTTTATACAAAAATTAACACTGTGTCATGGATTGGTTTGTAAAATATGAAAGCTGTAAAACTTTTTAAAATAAGAGAAAATATCCTATTGTGCAGACATAGAAAAGTTTATTCCAATGTGCCTTCTGTTTCTAAGAGGCAAAGAACTCTTCAATTGAAACAAAAAGAACACATGATTCATGAAAGACAAATTGATAAATTGGAACTCATCAGAATTAAACACTGTTCCTCTGCAAAATTCCGCGTGAAGTGGATGAAGACACAAGCTACAGACTGAGAAAGTAACTGTAGTCATATGTCCAAAAGAACTAGAATCTAGAGCATACAAAGGACTCTCAAAATTCAACTATAACAATATAATACCACCAGAAAGTAGGCAGAAAAAATGAACAAACATTCACTGAAGGGGAAATACAGATGGCAAATAAGCACATGAAAGTATGTTCAACATCTCTAGCTATGAGGAAAATGTAAATTAAAACCACTTGAGATATTCCTATACATCTACCAAATGTCTAAAAAATTTTTTTAAATGATTAAATCACCAAATGCTGGGGTAGATGAGGAGAAACTGTATCATTCGTACATTGCTGATAGGAATGTAAAGTGGTGCAACCATTCTAGAAAACAGCTTGACAGTTTCCTACAAAACTATTATGGAACTACCACATAACCCAGCAATTGCCTTCTTAGGCATTCCAGAGAAACAAAAACTGGTTTACACAAAAAACTGTACAGGAATCCGTATCTGCTTTATTCACAAAAGCCAAAAAGTTTGAACAGCTCAGATAGCTTTCAGAGGTTGAATGATTAAATAAACTGTGGTACATCCATGCCGTTGAAATACTACACAGCAATGAAGAGGAACAAGCTCTGAAACTACACACAATCAGAATGAATCTCCATAGAATGATGCTAAATTTTCAGAGTGTCTCCAAAAGGTGCATGCTATTTGGGCTTCCCTGGTGGCATAAGCATTAAGTTTCAGTGCTATCACACTGTCTCTGCTATGTCCTGAGTTTGAGCCACAGTCGGAGAGTGAACCCACATATGGGGCAGCAGACCTCTCCCGTCTCACATGCTGCTCCCCTTAGCAGTGTATTTCAGTAGATCTGCCACTCAGTTTCTGGTGAATCCTCTAAGCCCCCTCCCTCCAGCCTATCTTTGGCCTACACCCCCGTTCTTGTATGCATAAATAACAATAAATCTTCAAAAAAAAAAAAAGTTCCATGCTATTTGATTTCATTGATATGAAATTTTTGAAAAGTCAAAATTTTAGAAATGGAGAACAAATTAGTGACTGCCAGGAGTTGGGGACAACAGGAGAAAAGGAACAGAGGGAGGGAAGTAGGCATCAAGGGATCACCAAGATGCTGTTACTTGGCAAGTCTTCTGTATCCTGACTGTAGTGATGGATATACAAACTTACATATGACAGAATGATTTATAATTAAACAGAGAGAGAGAAGAACAAGTAAAACTGGGAATATCTGAGTAAGACTGCTAGACTACATCGATGGTTGTGATATTGTACTGCTGGAGATGCAAGTGGCACCACTGGGGGAGACTGGATATAGGAAACACTGGATCTCCTATATTATTTGTTACAACTACATTACTCTAAAAATCATCCTTTAAATTTTTTAATTAAATAGACTGTTTTTTATTTAAAACCTCACATTTTATTAAAAACTTGAAAATGCAAAATAACAAAATATCAGAAAACTCATATTCCTGGTATATCATCTTTTGATGCATTTCTTTCTGGTCTTCATATTTTATATGAAAAAATGTGAGGGATGGGCTTAAAAATGAGGATAATGACAAAGTGGGGGCCTTGCTGTTTCCCCACCTTCTGTGACATCAGAGCTCAGTACTCTGGTGAACAGAGGCCAGGGAGGGGGCGGATGACCATCTGCCTGTCAAGTAGGGATACCTTGGTCCACCAAGGCAGCCTGACCTGAGGCCATGGTGATCCAACCGGCAGGCAGCAGGGGGCGAATGGCAGCCGAGCTATTAGAAAGGAGAAGGAGCAATCACTGTGAGGACAAGAAGCAGGTGAGGCCAGCCCCGGTATGGGTGGTTTTCCTCACCTCTAGGATCCCTTTGCCCCTGTAAGACCTTCAAAGTCAAGAACAGGCTTTCTTGACTCTCTCCAGTGCCTTGCTTGGTAGAATCCAGCAAAGGGATTTAGGTGGCTTCCCAATACCATTTCTGCCCACTTAATTCTTAGCCCCGCCAGCAGAAGGGATGCCCTGGGAGGGCTGGAGTTTTTGTTGAGTTTCCTACTATATCTTTAGTGCCTAGAAAGATGGTTGGTGCATAATAGGTGCTGAATGAATAAATGAATGAATGAGCTGAAATACAGAGAATAGCACACCCAAATTGGAGTTGTCCTTAGGGCTGAAATTCAAATCTCACATGGGATTTTGTCAAAGCAAAAAAATGTTAACACTGTGCACAATTTGATACTTTCCACTACCACCACGCTCCCTGCATAACTTACAACATTCCCAAGAGGGAGCTGCTATCACCTCATTCACAGATGAGCAAGCTGAGGCTCAGACAGCAAAAAGACCATACAGCTGAGATCAGAGGAAACCAGGTCCATCTGATTCCAGAACCCTTAGGAAGGTTACCTTGCACTGTACTGGAGAAATGAAGGAGGGAACTATAAAAGACCTCAAATAGCTGGGAAGGTCAGATGAGTTTTGTACACCATGGAGAGTGTTAATAAGAACCTATGGAAGGGGTTTAAGCAGAGCTATGGGTGACTGACCTTACATACCTTCAAAAGGTGTGTTTACTCATTCATTTAATATATTCGCTCCAACACTTTATGTTTGATCTCACAGCAGGGTAGGGGCCATGAGGGGCACCCAGCATGCTACAGCTTTTTCTTAAATGTCCTATGAATTTCAAAGAGCAGGAATGGTTCTTTTAGAAAAATCATAATGTAAGTTCTATGCTTTCAGAAATGTTGAGATTTCGGTTCCTTCTTGGAAATGTACATTGCTCCTTCTCGGAGAGCCCTTCAGCAAGGAAACTCACTTTACTTTGCTGAATACAGCACTTCCCAAGCCCATTCAACTGCAGAGTCTTGTTTCTTTTTGAAAGACCTTTCAGCATATTTCTAAATCCAAGTTACAGATAAGGAGACTGAGGTTCAAAGAGGAAAATGATTTGGCTCAGACCCCAAAACAGTACAGGAAAAACTGAAACTTAATTCTAGTTTCGTCCCCCTGCCCTTTGCCTCCACCCAGCACAAAATAAAAACCTGGCAGCAAGTATGCTGGTAGAAAAATCACCCAGTAAAGTATGCTGACAGAGGAGTAGCTAAAGAAGTAAAAGAGCCAGAATTAACCTAAGCAAGGCGGTGAATGACCCATGCAATGAGCACTACAAGATACTATTAAAGGATTTAGACTGTGATATGGAAAGACACCCCATGCTCTTGAGTGGTGAAAATCAATATAATGAAAATGACTATTTGTACCAAAAGCCATATATAAGTTCAATGCAATACCAACAATATTATTCAAAGAAAATGAATTTAAAAATATTGAAATTTATATGGAACTATAAAAGACCTCAAATAGCAAAAGCAATACTGAGAAAAAAGGAGAGAAATAGAGGAATCAAGTTGCCTGACTTTACACTGTACTATAAAGCCGAGGTAATTAAAACAATATGGCACTGACATTAAAAAAAAAAAATACAGGGATCAATGGTACAGAATTGAAAGCCCAGAAATATATCCGCATACATATCAATACTTAATTTATGATAAAGCAACTTAGACCATACAATGAGGAAAGGGGAGTCTCTTTAATGATTAGTCGTGGGAAAATTGGAGTCAAATGTGAAAGAATGAAGTTGGATTACTCTCTGACTTCACACACAAAAATATACTCAAAATGGATTAAAGACTTGGATACAAAACATATAGAAGAAAACACTGACGATATGTTCCATGACATCAGTAATAAAGATCTTTTTGGACACTTGACACCTACAGAAGAGGAAATAAAAGAAAAACAAACAATTGATATTACCTCAACTGAAACAGCATTTACACAGTGAAAGAAAATATAAGTACATTAAATTCTCTACTGAATGAATGGAAATATTTATACATTACATAACATATCCGCGACATGTTAAAACTTAGATAATTCAACAATGAGAAAAATAAACAACCCAATTAATAAATGGGCAGATGACCTGAACAGACAATTCACCAAAGAGGATATCAAAGACACCAGTAGATACGAAAGAATTACAAAAAAAATTAATAAGGGAAATTCAAGTTAAGACCATAATGAGATATAATCTCACACCAATGAGAATGACACATATTAAAAAAAAAAAAAAGTGCCAGAGAGGATGTGGAGAAAGAAAATATTATACTATTGATGGGACTATAAACTGGTGAACTATTTTGGAAGGCAATCTGGATTTATCTTAAAAAACCAAGATTGGAAATATCTTATGACCCAGTAATCTCACTCCTGGGCATCTATCCAAACAACATCAAACTATCAACTCAAAAATCTCTGTGCTGGGCCTTCTCCCTGGTGGCACAGTGGGTTGAGCGCTGTGCTGTGAAGCTGTCCGCAGCCTCTGCAGCACGGGTTCAATTCCCGGCCGGCCAGGGAGAAACCCACATGATGCAGCAGACCTCTCCTGCCTCACCTGCTGCTCCCCTCAACAGTGTATTTCGGTCCATCATCTACCTGTTCAGCTCCCCACTCTATCTCTGGTGAATCCTTTCACCCTCCCATACCTCTGGCCTGTACCCCAGTTCTTGTATAAAAATAAATAAATCTTTAAAAAAAATAAAGGTTACTAAGATTATTTAAAAAAAACCCTCTATGCTCTACAATGTTTATTGCAGCACTATTTATAATAATTGGGCAACTTAAATGCCCAGTGATAGATGTAGGATCAAGAAAGTGAAGTACATATCCAAACTATGGAATACTATTCAGCCATAAGGAAAGATGCCATTTATTACAAAATGGAAAGAGTTTGAGAGAATTAGCATAGAAAAGCAAGTCACATGTAAAAGAATGAAACTGGATCATTCTCTAACTCCACGTACAAAGACAAATACTGGACATGTACAGAGCAAAAATTTCAACACAAAATACTTATAAAAACTAGCATTGTTAATAAATGAGGTTTCCTTCCAAGGTAAGGAGGAAGTATAATATCCAATGAATATAATATCCAAAGGGAGTTCCAGCTTCCCTGCCCCACCCAAGGAAGGGTGGAGCTCAGCAGGGAGGAGAAGCTAGAAAAGACTGGGAGAAGGCAGGGGAAAGAAAGGAAGGGAAAAGAGGAAGCAGACCTGGAGGAGGCACGTGGAACAGTGGGAATGTGAAGAAGCTGCGTTTGCTATTCAACCTTGGACTTGTACCAGGGTTGGGGGACAAGGAAGGAGACACCATTAAGAGACAGAGATGTGGGTAAGAGCCCTGTGGGGAGGCTGACAATGGCAGCCTTTATCTTGACATGTGCTTTGATTTTGCTCTTTTCCTTCCAGACTTGCCTGGCCCCTTCAGCCCCTTTCCCATGGGTCCCCAACAGGAGGTGCCTTAGACTCATGGCAGGTTTTCCTATCTCAGTGGTCCCACTTTGGGCTGACCCTGTTTGACCCTGTTAGCTCATTATAGATGAGTTCTTGAATTTCATGGAAATGCCTTCAAGCAGTGAGGACCTATGTACCTGACTTCTTGCACCCACCTTTCTGTCTGTGTGATTAGACAAGTTGTTGGTATATAGTTTGCTTTTATAATGAAGTTAATTTAAAAAATAATAACATAGTTGCTAGTATATTTAAAGGAAACTATCTGGGGGAGAGATCCATTAGGCAAATCTCCTATCTTGCTTCACAAATGCAGATATGTAAGAAACATATTATTTCAAGTCAAATTAAATCTGGCTCCACCCCCATCTAGTCAGTTTGGGGAACATTCCTTGTCAGTCTGTCCACTTTTGCTCGCCCCTGACACTGGCACTGTCCCAGCAAGCATTATCTGTTGAAATCACGTGTGTCTCAGTCCCCTGTGCTAAAGCCTGATGGGGCATGGCTCATGAGGCCATGGGGGGAATGAGGGGTGCCAGGCCACCCATCAGATATGCTCCCCTCACTTCTCTAAAGGGTATTTAGAAGGAAGGCAAAATTTCATCAGCAGGTGGAGAGATTAATGGTGTCATATTCATATAATCCAGTATTACTCATCAATAACACAGTACACACAAGAACAAGGCGACATCTCATAAGCATTATGTTGAGCCAAAGTAGCTAAACACAAAAGCATATATACCATGCAGTTCCTTCTTCATGACATCATCAAACAGGCAGCACCACTGCAGAGTAACAGAAGGCAGACCAGTGGCTCCTCTGGCAGGTGGGGGTAAGGAGGATATTGAATACAAAAGGAGGATATTGACTACAAAAGGGCATGAGAGATCTTTCTAGAATAATGCACTTTCTTGCATTGGGGTGGTAGTCCACAGATAAAGGAACAAGTCATCATATATTACATTTGAGATGTGGATGAGAATTATAGGCCCAATAAAGTTGATTCTTTTTTAAACCTGCACTCCTATGTTCATTGAAGCACTATTTACAACAGCTAAAATATGGAAACAACCTAAATGCCCCAAAACAGATGACTGGGTCAAGAAGATGTGGCGTATATACACAATGGAATACTACTCAGCAATCAAAAAAGATAAACTTATGCCATTTGCAGCAACTGTGGATGGAGCTGGGAGGGATTATGCTCAGTGAAATAAGGAAAAAGAAAAATATATGGGATGGTTTCGCTCACAAGAGGAACATGGGGTAACTATACAAGGGATCAGGGAAAAAAAAGACAAAATAAGCAGGCAAACAACAAATTGGAGACATTCAGCAGGGGAGGGGGAGGGAGAGGGATCAAAATGGGAGGGAAGAGCACAAGAGACTAAGGTGACAGTTCACAGGTATCTTGGTGGTGGTAATTTTATGGGGACAACACCTGAGAAGAGAAATGAAACATTGTACAAAAAATGAATAACAAGGTAAAAATATATAAATAAAAATGAAAAAAAATAAAGTTGATTCCTTTTAACATCAGGCAAACAAAAACTAAGTGAGATCAGGCATGGAAACAGAGGTGGGCGGGCCTTCCTTGGGGGCGGGGGGCGTGGGGAAGAAATGTTAGTAGGCTGCCATGTTATCTATTTCTGCAACTTTGGGGGGTTTTGTGGTAAATCTGTGATATATAACTAGAAAAAAATTAAGCTCTTAAAGCCTTCTTCTTACACTGACACGCCTAACCCTCCCGAGGGAAGCAGGTAGTAGGGTGCCTCCAGGAGCTCACCTAACCCCTCCTCCACCTCCTCCTCTTGTCCCCAGACATTGTTGGCCTTGCTGGTCTTGGTGCTGTACTTGGGCACAGGCATATCAGGTGAGCATCCCTTCCCTGAGAACGGAGGAAGTGAGTGAGTGGACCCACCATGCTTATTTCAACTACCGTTCTTTTACCCACATTTATTTATTTAATTTAATTTTTCTTTATTTTATACCCTTGTTTATTTTATTTTAAACCTGCTATATTCACAATATAGGATTTCTCCCCACAAATGTGGTCACCACCACCAAAGCACCCACAGTCCTCTACCACATTCCACTGTGCTCTCCTTCCCCACTGGTTTCTAAAAGATGGTATTGGTGCCTGTTTCAGGAAGAAGTTGGGAGGTGTCAGAAAGGATCAGAGACTGTAACTATCCCCAGAATCCTGTGGCTTCCCAGGTAACACATTCAGGAAGGTACTGAGGGGACATCAAGCTTGGCTCAGAGAATCTCCAGAGGTATCACTGGCAGGTGGGGTGTGGCAAGCTACGTAGGAACCGGCCCGAGGAGATGGGGATGAGAATTTCAGGCAGAAGAAACAGCAGAGGCTCAAGGGAAAAGCTCAAGATGTAACTTTGGCCATAACAAACCATAGAAATTGTAGAGTTCAGGCTACCAAAGGGGGAGGTAGAGGCGGTAGAGCAAGTTGAGGAGGGGACATAGTGCTCTATGGTAGAGACTCTCACTGCCGTGGTGATGTATGTGTGGTGACATGTATCCAGCGGGGGGGGGAAGAGGGGGTAAGTAAGCCTGTACCTCTAACTCATATACGATGTTAAAACAATGTTATTTCAATTAAAAAAAATGGTCTGCACCTTCAGAAAAAAAAAAGATACAACTTTGGTGTCTGCCTTTCAGGGGTTTGAGTCCCACAACAGTGAGTCCTTAGAAGACCCAGTGAAGGTCATCAGGACCTGGCTGAAGGAGAACTTGCACGTGTTCTTGGAGAAGCTAGAGAAAGAAGTGCAAGAGCTGGAGCAGCTGGTACGGGACCTGGAGGAGTGGCTAGATGCTTTTCTCAGAGAGGGACCCTCGGAGGAACCCTGCTCCTCACTCAAAAACCACTTGTGAGGGGCCAGGGCTGGGACCTGGGGAGGAGACCAAGTGGATGTATGGGAAGGAAGGGATGCCAGAGGCTCCTCTAAGGCAGGATAAGCTGAGATGCTTGAAGTTCAAGGCAGATGAGAAAATAAAATAGTTGGGCAACTATGAACCAGTCAGCCCCGCTGCTCACCCATGAACACTTAACACCTGACACCAGGTTCTCCTAGGTGGCCCCGGACACCAGGACTCTGAGGCTTGAGAGCCAACATGGGCTTCTAAGCCATCTACAGGGTCAGGACCCTCCATGCCCACCTACCTGGCATTGTGCAAATGTCAACCTCTGTGAGACAAAATCGCCTCATTAGTAACAATCAGGGAAACAACTTTGCCACCCAGGGTTATACTGCGCGCAGAGGGTGTGGCTAGCATATTGTAGGTGCCTGTGAACAGGAGATGCTGGTTCCTGAGTATCTATACCATATGTCAGTATATCTACAGATATAGGGCAATTCAACCCACTGAAGCATAAGTTTCCAAAGCCCCCATGAAGGACAATTTGGCAACAGCTATTAAATTCGCAAATATATTTACCCCTTGACCCAGCAATCTGCTTCAGAGATTATATATTACTTATATATATGAGATATATAACATCTTACATTTATATAAGTTAAATATAATACATATTATGTATACTTGCACATGTGTGAAATGACATACCTGGGAGGTTATTCGCCCCAGTTTCATTTATAACAGCAGCAAATGGAAACAACCCAAGTAGTATCAGAAGGGCATGGAGCACATCAGTAACTGTCCCTCCAAACAATGAGGAGACCAAGTAGCTATGAAAGGGAGTAAGGACACTTTCCTTCAAGCCATAAGAAAAAGTCTGCAAGATGTGTTGCTAAATGAAAAAAAAAGTAAGTGTAAAGTGGGGACTGGGACAAGAATGTATGTTGTTGTTGATGATGATGGCCTTATTGAATCTGCAGTAAATTCTAGAAGGCTACAAATGGCAGGAGGACGTTGAGGGGAACTGAAATTGGAAATGTATGACAAGGATAGAATGGAAATTGTTCACTGTACACTTTTCATACCTCCTTGTTATCAAACTATGTGAATGTTCTGTCTAGTCAAATTTTTTTAACAAAGATATCTGTCATTATGTTTGCAGACAAGCCAGGAATACAGTGTATACAAGCAAAAATAACAGTATCATTATGATGACTATCACTATCATTATGATGAATTTGTGAGTGACTCTTAATTTTTCAAAATGCCAAGAGAAAAATCTCTCCTTTGATATATTTATCTTGATTAAACAGATTTCCCACAAGGATTGTCCCTTTTTTCCTTTACTACATAAAGCTTAGAGCACGCGAACCCATTACTGGAGTCATATCAGCCTCATATTTTTTGGTGATTCCCCCTTTCCTATGATTTTTTTATTTTTCTATTTTAGTAATTAGATATGTACCAATTATTAGAACTACCTCAAATCTTTGAAAAGTCATGAGGGTCCCAATTAAAATAATCTCAGGGCTTATAGAAAATAGCACAACAATACATTTGCTGGGAGGAATTAATCAACTGCCATTTGAGACAGAAAAAAGTCTTTGCAAATTATGATCACAATTTTGCCATGGAGTATTTGACTGAGGGTGGGAAACAGAATCTGTTTTCCCTCATTTACAACTATTTCATCATGCTCCTACATGCTGGTCTGATCATGGTCTGAGGGGTGTTTCCTTGCGTTAATATTTACTATCGTCATACAAGATCATAGTTATGCACCCAAAAGCATGCATATCTGTCCCAGAGGTCCTTTAAGGGGTTGTTGGGCATAACTTTGACGATACTTAACTTCAGCCTAGCACAAACTTTCAACTCTAGTCCCCATCTAAGTTGCAATTCTACTGCATCTGTAATGTATGTGTGTGTGTATAAATAGAGATTACATTATATTTATATTTTATAATATATATTTATAGATTTATTTTTTTCAATGTTTATTTATTTATACAAGCACTGGGTACAGTGACTGTTCTAGAAGCGAGGGAGGGTAAGAGGATTCACCAGAGCCAGAGTGAGGAGCAGAACAGGCAGAAGGACAGAAGTACACTGCTGAGGGGAACAGCGGGCGTTGCAGGAGAGGTCTGTCGCGCCATGTGGGACCCTCGCTGGTGGCCGGGGATCGAACTGGCGCTGCAGAAGCTGCAGGCAGCCCTAATATATAACTATATATAAATATAATTATATCTCTGTATGTAAAATTTGGGGATATATAAAAAAAAAAAATGGAACCTAGCTCCTTGAAGAACGGAACTACCCCAGTGGATATTAGCAGAGCATTTGCAAAGAGGAATTCTTTGACCCCATCCTCACACCCCACACACAGGGTCTAAGAGCTGCCCATGCTGATGTGGGTCTCCTCTCTTTCAAATGGAGAAAAGACTAAGCCAGGAATCAGGCCCACTCCTAGAAAGCTGAGCAGTCTATGAGGCCAAGACAGAAGAGACAGGCCTGGGTTTATTAAGGGGAAAGTGGCCAGATGGAAAAATGTCATGACTACCCAATTATCCACATTTTTTTGTTTCAGCTACCTGTAGCATGAGGTCAGCATCACAAACCATTGCAAACTTGTAATTAATTTTAATTGATGGCTTTCTCTCCTATGTCTCTTTTATTTAATAGATATATTTGGCAACCTTCCTAATGCTCCCTCAGGCTCTTCTCTTTTTGCTAACACTGATTCATTTTGCAATTTTCTTTTGTTGGCTTGGTTTGGTTCAGCTTCTGTTCTCTTCCTTCAATTTTTGTGACGGGGAAAAAAAACATGATCATTCAGGTAGTTCATGTCTTAAAGAGAGTGTGATAGATAAAAATTCAATAAGGTCAAGTCCACTGATGTGTTAGTTATATGTATTTCTTAAGCATCTTATAATTATTGGAGAGAAATAATAAAATTGTGATGGCTAACAATTAGAGAATGATTCCTGCGTCTCTGTTTTTGAGGGCTTAGTCAGGCACTATTGTTATTTCCAGTTTATGGAGGGGGAAACTGAGGCATAGAGAAATGATATCATTGTTAAAATCATGTCATCAATAAGTGGGTTCAAACCCAGGCTGTCTGGCATCCAAGCCTTCTCGTTAACCCAAGAGTTTCATTAAGCTCAGCCAAAATAATGTCCTCTCTCTTGAGAAGTTCTCATTTTATTGTTAAGTAATCATATGCTGATTAAATATATAAGGCAATAAATATTCATTGCATGCTACTACATGTCAAGTACATATATAGAAAAGTAGAGGTCATGTTCCCTGCCTACATATAACTTGTCTTTCTACCATGCAGCCAAGAAAGAAAGACGGGAAATAAAATATCTATATTGTTTTAAAAGTCATTGGGTGAAGTGCCAAAGGCAATCAACTAATTGCCAAATGAGCTATATATTTATTGGCCTAACTAAGAGTTCAGAGAAGGGATAGGGCTCTTGAATTGGCACTAATGTGAAAATCCAGTAGTCCAGTTATAGAGAAATGCTGGAACTTAAACTAGGTGGTGGTCAAGGGAAAATCTTGGGGGACACCAGAGAGAGATGAATGATGGGAGGGGCAAAGAAGGGTCTTTCCCAATAGAATCAACTATAGGTTTGGCCCAGTTCAAACTTAAGGTTCACAACCCAAGTTTCAAATGAGATTTGGAACCAGGCTCCCACAAGGTGTTTGTGAGAATCAGGTCAAAAAGAAAAATACCCTTGGGAAGAAAGGATTTGGGCTCCATTAAAAGTATTTCAAGACCAGGAAGGTCCATTTCCAGTCTGCATGTCTTATTTTTTGATGATGTCAAATTAAAATGTGGATTTAATTTGTTCCCTTAATCCACAAATTTGTTCAACAAAATTGTGAAATGCATTAAATCCAATTTGGTTCAAATCTGGCTGTCAGAAGGATAATTGAGGGTGGTGAGGGATGGAGCCAAAGAAGATGCCTTTCTGGGGCATCCAAATCCCTTTTGTTGTGACATTTCCAAGAGGACGGGCATCCCTGCCTGAAGGCAGGAAGAGAAGACCAGAGCTTTATTCAGACATGGCAGCTGGCCTTACTGGAGTGGCTGAGCTCTCAGCAGAAAGTGTCACCTGCCTACTTAAGTCAAATCTCTTCATACCTCAGAGCCCCCATGTATGGGACTATACCACCTCCACAGAGTGGTTTCTAGGACATTAAAAGAACATGTGACTGGACAATGTCATTGTGTATAAAGCACAGTGATAGAAACCTGGATGCTAAGAAAAACTCACATGATCAGAAAGACAGATCTAGACTCCAGCCCAGTTAAATCCAGTGAACAATGGACTTGATCGCTCTTCTCCATCTCTCACTTCCATTTGTCTCTGAGCTGTCCCCATTCTCAGGCAGACTGTCTCCACCAAGGTGGCAAGATGGGATCAGGTGCTCAAACAAGGCTTTAACACATCTCTCAGCCTCACCAGAAGGAAATACCTCTTCCTGATAGCTATGGTCAAAGTCTTGTGAGCCTGAAGACCCTCCACTGACTCCTGAGCTGATCCTCACAGTTAAAAGGATGCAATTTTGCCTATTTTTTCTTCTACATATTTTATGGTTTCAGGTCTTATGTTCAAGTCTTTTATCCATTTTGAGTTGGTTTTTGTGCATAGTGTGAGGTAGGGGTCTAGTTTCATTCTTTTGCATGTGGTGGTCCAGTTTCCCAGCACCATTTATTGAACAAACTATACCTGTTCCATTGCATATTCATTGCTCCTTTGCCATAGATCAGTTGTCCCTGAAGCAAAGAAAGTGAAGGAAAAGATAAGCAGCTAGAATTTCATCACACTAAAAAGCTTTTGTGCAGCAAAAGAGACAATAGCCAAAACAAAGAGACACCCTATTGATTGGGAGAAAATATTTGCACTCCACACAACTGATAAGGGACTAATTTCAAAGATCTACAAAGCTCACATAACTCAATAAAAACAAAGCAAACAATCCAGTCAAAAGATGGGCAAAACAGCCAAAAAGACACTCCTCCAAAGAGGAAATGCAAATGGCCAACAGGTATATGAAAAAATGTTCAGCATTCCTTATAATCAGGGAAATGGATGGCACATATTAAAAATAAAACCGGCAACAACAAATGCTGGCAAGGATATGGAGAAAAAGGAACTCTCTTACACTGCTAGTGGGAATGCAAACTGCTTCAATCACTATGGAAAACTGTGTGGAGGTTCCTCAAATTAC